TTAGGTGGAATCCTGAGTCCCATCCACAACCTTGTGAGATGAGACATTCCCACTAGAAAGGACAAGCAGACTGGAACAGCTACAGTGACAGAAGATCCATCTTCATGATGAACAGGGTTTCCAAGGCTGTAAATCTTTACATGAGCAGAACGCCTCATCTTTCTCCCACAGAACAGCTGGTAGTTTCGAACTGCTGACCTTGCAGTTTGCAGCCTGATTCGTAAGCACTACGCTACCAGAGCTCCTTTAGTCTCTCTAGTCTCTAGTCTTTCTAGGGTTCTTTAATAAAAAGGGGTGGTCCAATCAAAATAGTGATTTCCAAGGGGATCTACTGAGCCAGTTAATTCTAGACAGAGAGATCAGTTCAGAAGATTATGGCAACCGTTTTTTGACATTCCAAAAGGGCAATCTTGATAGAGCTTTCTTGAAGGACTCAGGACATTAATGAAGCTTATTATGAAGATGTTTTAGGAAAATGGAGAACTGAAATGGTGAGAAAAGGTCAGGAAAGTTACCCAAGGAATTATTTTCCATCATGACAATGCACCTGCCCATTCTTTGAGGGTAGCAAGGACCATCCCACAAGAATTCTGTCAGGTAACCTTAACCTGTCTACTCTGTAGCCCTGGTCTTGCCACTTCAGACTTCTTTTTATTCCCCAAACACAAAGAACATTCAAAAGATTCACTATTTGAGTCCCTCAAGAATATTCAAACTGCCATTTAGACATGGTATAAATCAAAGAGTGCAGAATTCTTTAGAGAAAGGGTTAGCGTAATGGAAACAGCACCTTCAGAAGTCTAAAGACCTAGGTGGAGGATATGTCAAGAAACAATAGGCTCACATTTTCATATTTTTTAAAATAAAGGTGTGATGCTGTAGGATAAGCACTGGAAGGATAACTACAAGGTCAGAGATTCTAAATCACCAGCTGCTCCTCAGAAACCCTATACAGGGTTACTATGAGTCGGAATGGACTTGATGACACTCAACAATAGCAACATAATTTTATAGAAATATTTTTTAACTTTCTCATGTAAATAAACATTCATAAAACATTCAATTTGTTCAAGGGAAAATTTAGTTATAAAATATTGAAATTAAAAGAATTCATAATAAATATCAGCTATGATTATATATATATAATATGCATGTGTGTATATATACATATATATAATATGCATGTGTGTATATATATATACATATATATGTGTGTGTGTGTGTGCATAGTATGGTGCTTTAGGATAGGCACTGATCCAAAAAGTTGGTTTGAACCACAAAGTTGGTTCAAAAACTCACCAGCTACTCCTTGAAAACCCTACATATACAAGGTCACTATGAGTTGGAAACCGCTCAACAGCACTTAAATACATATGTGTGTGTGTGTATGCATATACATGCACGTATATATAACTCAGAGGGTTTCTCTTATAAACAACAAACCAAAAACACCCAAAGCCACTGTCATGGAGTTAGATCTGACTGATAGTGAGACTATAAGATAGAGTAGAATACTACTTAGTGTTTCCAATATTGTTAATTTGGGGGGAACATTAAGTCTCATCATTCTCACATGGAATAGCAGGTGGGTTTGAACCAACAAACTTGTGGTTAGCAACCCAATATTTAACCCACTGTGCCAACAGGGCTCCTTTGAGAAATAATAGTGATGTGAAAACAGGAAAAATAATCAACTAAGAATAAACAAAGTCACTAGTCTGCACATTGATAACAATTGCTTCTGCCTTTCCTAGCTTCCCTTTCATGACAGTCTACATTGAATTTAAAATCTGCTCTTCATTGTAAAATTCCACATTTTACCTGTTCATAGGCACCAAACTTGAGTGCTGTCTCTGGTGCAATTTTTAAAACATTTACACCATTTCCTCTCCAAAGAGAAATAACTCCTCCTTCTTTTACCATCTGCTCGAATCCACCAATCAATCTCATTCTCCTTGACTCTGAGCTATAAACCTAAAAATGAATAGCAAATTCATTATTTATTCACTCACTTATTTACAATTTATACTGAATTAATTTTGCTAGTATTATTGCTTGATATTTTTATTATCCATAAAATAATTATATACATATATGTTCAAACTCAGAGTCCTGGTGTGGCACTGTGGGTTAATGCGCTGGACTGCAAGGTGTATTTGAACAGCAAGAGCAGTGGTTCAAGCTCACCAGCTCCTCCTTGGAAACCCTATACAGGATTGTTATGAGTTAGAAATGACTTGACAGCACTTAACAACAACAACAAATATACAAACTCACAATTTTAACACCATCCTAATTTTCTTTCAGAGACATAGAATTTAAAAATTAATTTTTTTGTTGTTCCCAAATATGCACTTAAATTAGTATAAGACATCAAAGAAGACCAAAAAAATAACTTTTCAAAAATGTCATTGCTAAACACAAGATGGCAGCTCGAGTAGACTCACAGTGAGGAGCTCTGTCAGCAACAACATCCAAAATACTCAACCAAGCAGGCTCAGGGGATAGTGATAGAACTCTGAACCACATATAAAGGAATATTTAGAAGCTTGGAAGGCTTGCAGGTAGGTGAATTTGTAGCAGAAGCAAGAAATCCACTGCTTTCTAATTAAAGATGCTCAGCTGCTCCCAGAGCCGCCATCTTGGGCAAGACCAAGTGGGGGAAGGATCAGAGCAGACACGGATGCCTGACAGAATGAAAGAGATAAAGGTGTGGACATTCTTCCTTTTTTGGTATCTGTTCATTGGTCCCTCGCTCTCTGCACACCTCCAGTCTGGTGACTATAGGGATGCCTGAATGAGTGGACAACCAGCCCCACCCTCAGAGGGTTCTACTATGCATGCGCACAGATCTCCTCGAAATTTAAAGAGACAGTTTCCACTTAAAACAAAACGGCCACAGCCAGCCCTGAAATATTTATAACTAGTAAAAAGGCCTAATTGGGGATTGTGGAGTGGGACAGACAGACTAAAAAGGAAATAGGCTGAAAATTAAATCCTACATCAAAACAACCAACAGTAGCATCTTGAAATTTCCCAGGAAGAAGAGTGAAAAGGGAAGCCAATTTCCTGATCACATCTACCTAGAGGCAATCAGAAAGCACAAAAAAATACCAAAATACACAACCATCTAAGTATTAAGGCCACAAATAACTACTGAATATGCCCAAAAAACAGAAGCAGATGACCATACCTGCACATGTGAAGAAACGACATAAAGTGACTGAGGCAAATGAACTGGAAGGAGACCTACACTCCATATTGGAAGATGGGCAGGCTTTGGAAATGCTGGAGAAGGAATTCAGAAAAATGATTATAAAATGTATCAAAACACTATATAATGGAGTTGAGAAATATAAGGATGAAGTCAGGAAAGCACTACATGAGCAATCAAATAAGATAGATAGAGCATTGGAAACAATTCAAAACCTACAGTAAGAGGTCCAGGTGATTAATAGCAGAATATCAGAAATGGACAATACACTGAAAGGGCAAAAGAGTAGAATTGAAGAGATAGAAGCCAGCACTAGAGAGCTAGAAGATAAATCTCTCAACACTGCTAAGATAGAAGAACAAACACAAAAAAGGATTTAAAAAATCTGAAGAAGGCCTAAGATTCATGTTGGACAACATGAACAGGAATAACATAAGAATTATTGGCATTCTGGAACAGAAAGAATCAGACAAATCCACTGAGGAGAAAGTTGAAGAGCTTCTGGAAGAAATTTTTCTAACATCATGAAAAGTGAAAAAATAAGCATTCAAGAAGCTCATCGAACCCCAGGAAGGCTTGGCCCCAAAAGACAATCACCAAGACATAGAATAATCAAGCTCTCCAAAAGCAAAGATAAGGACAGGATCCTGAAAGCAGCTAGGAAAAAGAGAAGTATAACATACAAAGGCAAGCAAATCAGATTAAGTTTGGATCTCTCAACAGAAACCATGCAGGCAAGAAGGCAATGGGGAGACATATATAAAACGCTGAAAGAAAAAAAACTGCCACCCAAGAATCCTCTACCCAGCAAAGCTGTCAATCAAATACAATGGTGTAATCAAAACATTCCAGGATAGGCAGAAGCTAAGGGATTTTGCCAAAGCCAACCCTGCTATGAAAAACATCCTAAAGGAAGTTCTGTGGACTGAGAACTAACAGGAACAGACAACTACAGAATGACAAACGTGGCAGCATTACCCTGAACTCAATCGACAAATGGAAGAGTCAAGAACAGAATAAAATTATAAGAACAAAGGATCTGGAAGGTCAGTCTATAATCAAAACCATTTCAATGTGAAAGAAGGTAAACACAGAAGAACAGAGATCCAGGTGGTGGGAAGGTCAGGTAGATTACAGGATAAAATTGTTGTTGTTGTCAATAGACTATCTTAAATGGAGGGAAGAACTAATGGAATACAAGGTAACCACAATGGGGTTGGGGTGGGGGTTTAGTTTGGGTGTTGGGGAGAGCAATACAAGAAGCAGGGAGGAGGCAGAAGAAAAAGATAGATAGGGGAACACTGAGACAGGTTTGCATGGCCTAAGTGGGACAGAGGTAAATAGTGATGCATGCTCAACCTTGGAAATACAGGGCTCTGGGATACAGGGATCTAGGTATAGCTTGAAGAGGGGAAATAATACTAAAATGCTTGACTGTCTTATGAATATTAGTTTCCCTTGCCTAATAATGTATAATAGACACTTGAGTGGGATAGAAAGGATTGTTGGGAAACATGATTAGAGAAAACTTGTAAGCTCATCTTCAGACTATAATTGATTGGAATACCTAAAAGGGGTTTAGAACTTGCCCAGTGTAATAGGCGTCTTGGAAAGCCTTTGTATCATACAGGACCTTAGGTGGAAGGAATCCTGAGTCCCATCCAGAACCTTATGAGGTGGGACATTCCCACTAGAAAGACAAGCAGACCAGCCTGGAACAGCTACAGTGAAAGAAGATACATCTTCAAAGAAAGATCATCAGGAAAAAAACAAAACAAAAATTGTCAGCATGACTGGCTACTACAAGAATAAGCAAGCTATTCGCCAGGAAGACATCAAGGCTAGCAATCAAGTGCCTTCAGGACAAACTCCCTTCTAAGACTGAAACTCAAAGGGAACACACAAACAAGCATGTAAGCTTGCTGGCGACCACACTGGTCTACTGGTGAGTGGAAGAGGTGGAAAGACAGCAATGAAGAAATGGGCTGAGTTCAACCCCAGTCCATTGAATCTCGTTGACCTGGAGATGAGAGAGAGAAGAGGAAGGGCTGGTTGGTCCAAAGTGTGGTGAGACCTGAGGACACTTGAGCCCATGGACAAGGACATAGCCACAGAGGGCTATAGCTGAGAGTGAAGCATCCAGCTGATATGAAGTGAGGGGAGGTGCACAAGAACACCCAAACAGTACCCTTCTGACCTAGCCTCAATGGCTCGATAATCAGAACTCGACTAGAGGAAGATAGCAAAAAAACAAAACAAAACAAAACTTTTTTTTTTTTTTAATAAAGGAAACAAGGGTAAATTTGTACAATTTGATGAACCTGACCTATACTCAGAGAGGTAGTTACTCTAAATACCAATAAAGAGGGAAAGAGTCTTCACATCAAGTATCAATGCTATCCCATCTGTACACAGGGTAGATAAGGACGGGCAACTTAGACATTGGCTACCTAAAATGAGGGGGCAATAAAAGCATGAAGTGACTGGCTTACAAGGTTTTAAGAGGGAGTTTAGTTTAAGAGTATAGAGGGAAAGAAAGTGCCCACTGAATAGCTGTCACCTTGTCTAGATGGGTCTGGTGAAAAGAGATGGGGATAACATTCATATGATTCAATAGTAAATAATTTTTATCATGACTAATTGTGACTGTCACAATTGTAAAGGTAGAAGTTTTGGAACAAAAACAGGGGAGTGTTTAATCTTACAGTCCAGAAACAGAGAGAAGCATATGCAGAATGCAGGACCTTATCCAGAGAAACAGCAGTGCCAGAGATGGAGGCAGAGATGGGGACACGGAGAGGGGGAGCGGCTGAGGACTCTAGATCCATGACTAAGAAGAGAGAGACTAAGAGCTGTTGTCCAGGAGACAGACTTGTAGAATGTGCCCTTTAGAGATGTAAATTACTATATATGCCTGAGTGGGTTGTTTTTTTGTTGTTTGTTTTTAAAAAACTAAAGTGAATAGAGAGAAATACTGTTAACTGATGGTACATGGAGGGGATTATAATCATTGTAATGAAATAAGGTGTATGATTTGTTGAATGTAAAACTGATGATATGCCCTATAAAGTTTCATTCAATCCACAATAAAAAACCTTAAATTAAAAAAAAAAACAAAAAAAAAACAGATAAATGGGTTTTTCCCACCCAAAAAAAAAAAAAAGTCATTGCTATCAAGTACTGTCAAGTCGGTTCTGACTCATAGTGATCCTATAGATGATTTCCCAAGAGCAGTTGGTGGGTTTGAACTGCCAACCTTGTGGTTAGCAGTCCAGTGTTAATCCAACAGTGCCATACTAGGACAGGAATAACTTAATTATCAGGAAATCTCAGCATATGTAAGATATATTACTGCTATTTAATTGATACAAGATTATTAAAATATGTATTGACATATACCTGAAAAAAGAACAGATGGAAACATCAAACTTTCAATAGTATTTACTTCAGAAGAGTGAGAATTACTTACAGGTCATTTTAATGCCTTCCTCTACACTTCTCTGCATTTTCATATTTTCTACTTTATTTTATTAACAGAAGAAAATTTTATTTGTTAAAAACTAAAAATCTAAAGACAATAAAATACCCTCAAGTCTATAATAGAAAATAATGGGACAGCAAGTTGAAATGGTCATTCTCATATCCTATGAGTATAGTCTAAAAAACAATTTAGCAACATATATCAAGTTTTAAAAATCATGCCATCATTATTTAAACTTGTAGGAATCTTTCTAAACAAATAATTCTAAATATAAGCAAA